ACACACCGTGAAGGCAAGCGGCCGTTGCCGTCACCATGGTTTTGGTGCCAAAAACACACGGCGAAGGCAAGCGGCCGCTGCCTTCACCATGGTTTTGGTGCCAAAAACACACGGTGAAGGCAAGCGGCCGTTGCCGTCACCATGGTTTTGGTGCCAAAAACACACAGTGAAGGCAAGCGGCCGTTGCCTTCACCATGGTTTTGGTGCCAAAAACACACGGTGAAGGCAAGCGGCCGTTGCCTTCAAAGGTGGCTCCCCCGCGCGCGCAATGATGCTGGCCACGGAGGCGGCAGGGGAACAGGGCGCGCGCGCACGCATGCTCATGATGCTGGCCAGAGCGGGAAGGCCAGGAGGAGGGATCAGGGGAAGCGGAGGGGAGGGGGGGGGGGGCCGAGCGCGCGCGCGCGCGCCCGCACGTCCTTCCTTGCCCCCCGCCCATGAATGAGTGAATGAATGAATGATTGAATGAACGAATGAACGAATGATTGAATGATTGAATGACTGAATGATTGAGTGATTGATTGATTGATTGAATGATTGAATGGTTGATGGATTGCTTGAATGAATGAATGAATGAATGAATGAATGAATGAATGAATGAATGAACGAATGAATGAACGAATGAATGAAGGAATGCATGAGTGAATGAACTGTCTGCGTTGCCCGACGCTGGGCGCAGCCCCTTAAATAGGACGAGAAAGAGATAGCGAACAAACAATAACTAGTTCTTGTCAGTTCTTGTGTCCCCTCGCCACAATTTTCTCCCTGCTCGTCTATCGTGTAGCCAGTTGCCAAGAGCCACAGGAATGCAAGATCGCCAACTTTGCGAGGAACAGCAGGCTGCAATGGAAACTATGCTAGACTGACAGGGTCTACTTCAAAATTTGCTACATAACCTTGTGTCCCTTTGCTTCCCCTTCCTTTACGTCCGCTCTGTTTCTCCTGTCCGCCACTCGCCTGGAGCCTTCCGCAACTGGACGGTCTCTGGCTGTGCCGCTGGCAATTTCCGGCTTTGGCCGGCCACCCCTCCCCCTCACCCCACGTTGTCCGGGGGAGCTTTCGTGACTTGCAACGCGAGCCCATTGATGAGCCTGGAACCTGATACTGGAAGACAAAGAGTCAAAACTCAACTCAAAAGTCCTTCCCCCGTTGCCCTCGTTGCGAATTGAAAGCCCAGGCCAGCGTGCACGCTTGAACCTGGAAAGCTGTTTGTCGGCTGCGGCCTCTTGGAGCTTGCGCTTCTTCTCGAAGGTCGTGGCCTCCTTGTCTTCCAGGGCCTGGGGTGCGTTTTCGGGCCCAGGGGCTCTCGCGCCCAAAAGGCCACTTCCGGGCCTTCTTGTAGAGATATTCCTTGCGAAGCCGCGCATTGCGACGCAGCATTCTCACTAGCTTGCAGCTTGGAGGAGCTGCTGCTTCTCATGTAAGGGCTGCTTCCCTGAAAGGGATGTTGGCATGAAGCATGAAGACTGAGCCGATGCGACACAGTGTTTTATTAGGGCCGGGGATTGCGAAAGGCTACGAACTGCGGCAGAGCTGCAATCACACTTTTTTCACCCGGCTGGCCTTTCCCACTGAGATGTCCCAGTGCCTCAAATATCCAAGATCATAATATGTCGTCATACCTCTGAGTGGACTGGGAGTCCGAACTGTGATGGTAGTAGAAGATGTGGCCCTGCGGCGTTGAGTACGCCGCCCAACCATCTGGAAGTGCCCAAGCAGACCTCGGTGCTTAGACCACCAATCGTCTGCTTCTGCCCTCCTCTGCCCTTGATGGGTAAGGGGTCGAACGCCATCAATACTCAGGAAAAGAACTGCTTAGCCTTTGCTGGTCAGGCAGCTGTTGCTGCATACCCGTGTTCTCAGAAGCACGATGGCAAGATTTCATCAGGGTCCAAGCGAGACCATCAGCGAGACGACAGGGTTGCAACAGGAAATTTATCACATGTTTGAAAATGAGACGCAAATACTATCTTACAGGGAACAAAGTTAAGCTAGGCGTGTCTTCAAGCTTTCGCATCAGCTAGCGCTAGGATTTAATATTCGATCTTGTTTGGTGTGTCTGCTGGCAGGCTGTGTATGCAGATTCAACAACCTTTGGAAATTGTGAAGCACGAATGCCCACAAGAACCTGAATCGTCAAGTCCGTCAAGTCGCTCGCCCGACAAAACAGGCATATCAAAATGCAGTTCCAGCCAATTTTGTATGGAAGTGGTCTCCAACAGCCGCAAAAGGCGGCTTGTGTAAGTTGTGGTCAAGTCCTTCTCAATCGTGCTGAAGCACATATACCTCAAGTACGGACTGACTTGATTTGTCCGCTTTTGTTTCAGCGACCACGACAGGGGTTGAGGACAACCAGATTGTGCGCATTCGACATGTTTTGCGCAGAAGAGTGTCATGCTTGTTGCACGATCCTGAAGTCAGCAAGATGCTTGGCTGAAATTCCGAGCCTGTGAAGGCACGGAGTTAAGATCATACCCCAAAAGCAAGCAACTGTTGTCTGGACTGTAATGCATGGTTTCGGCCCGTGACTTTCTGTGATGACAACGACGGATCAATTCGATGCGTCGACATCTCCTTTTCTTGGAGACTTTGGCATTCTGTAGGTCTGCCGTCGGTGATGTTGGGAAGCCAAAGGACCAATCAGGAATGCAGAGGGAAATGCCCGAAGAACTCTCGCCTGCAGTATTCCTCTGACGTTGCTTACGATCCCATGGGACATGCTGCTAACATGGAAGAAAGGAAACACGACCCAAATGGGACAGCAGACCACTGAAGAGTCTCTGAGGTCTCCACGTGTCAGAGCATCCTGGCACAAGCTGCAAAAGAAATTTCACAACTCCAATCCATGACGCTGGTCAGTACTGCAAAATGCTATTTTTTGAGTTGCGCGCCCGCAGCTGTGTTGTTGGCTGAGGCTGCCTGGGCCGCCTGAAGAGAAGTCTCCATGGCACCGTCGCCGCTCGCCGCAGCTGTTCGATTTGCATCAGAATAGCCTCAAGCTCCATGCGACCAGCTACCGACCCTACCACAGAGGAAGCCGTGCGGAGGTTGCATCTCTTGGGATCACACCAGAGCTCTACACCACCAGCTACCAACTGGTGACACATCAAGCCACGTTCTGGGGTGCGTGCCGGCTGCGCCATTGACTTGTGTCTCCCTAATACTGTCGGCACTCACTGCTGTCGGATCTGGGTCAGCGCGGCCTGAAAATGGTTTTCAGCAGCTAAGGACTGCTCAAACAGTCGCATGGATACCATGCAATGGCAAATGCTGAACTTCTGGGCTTTTGACCGGCAGGCCCGTTTATGCATGCTGCTTCCATGACCTGCGAGGTGTCAGAATGCAGGCATCTCGGACAACTCAACAGTGATGACATGGGCAGATGTCGGCAGCATCTTCTGGCGGTCGCGAAGAGATTCCGCGTCTCAAGCCCGGAAGCCTGGGAGCCACTGCCTTGGGCCGGTGGGTCACCAAGAGGAGAGCCGAGCCGCGCCGAGCCGCGCCGAGCCACCGAGCCGAGCTCGGCCCAAGCATGAGGGCAGTCGCAACGGACGAACACTTCGCTTCGTGGAGCTTTGGAGCTTCGGTCGTGCCGAGTGGTCCAACCTGAACTACGTCGTGGAGTCCTGGGCGAGGGTCTCTGGTTGGTCAGGAAGCTTACCGATGTTGTCTTGCAGTCGCAGATGAGCACCAGCGTCTCTTCGCTGTTCGCCATAGGTCGCCATCATCCGGGCATCTGGAAACCGCAGGTGCAAAGCAGAAGACTTACTTCGTGGCATGACTCCTATGGCCATTGTGGTGCCTTGGTCTTGGCTTTGAGGCGCACAGATGGCGATGGCTGCACTGAAGGTCGAAGGCAGTAGGCACCGCCCGTCGCACCCCAGACAAGGGTCTCTGCATCCGCAGCATCCGCGGCGTCTCCACATGTTGGGGCTTGAAACTGGCAGTCCTCGACCTGAACCGCCAGAAAGATAGGAGACACGTCGCTGAGTCGCTCTCTCTTTCTTTCGTCCGGGCTCTCTCTCTCTCTCTCTCTCTCTGGCTGCTCGGCCTGTCGGCAGATCACGCCGCAGCGCAGGCAGGCTCGGCCGAGCAGGCGCTTCCCACAGGGCCGACAGAAGAGGTGGCCGCATGGCTGCAGCCTTGCTCGCCGGTGGCTGCCATCTCGGCACACCGGGCAGCGACTCGCTGGCCGAACCCGCGGCGACACGGAGAACTCCGAGGCGCGGCGGAGCTCCGAGGAGCGATCCTCTGCCCGCCCCCTCGGGCGCTTCGGGCGCCGGCCCTCCGGGCCCTCCCCACATTGGTCCCAAGCGATGCGGAGCCGCAGCGCGTAGGCCCAGGCACCGAACCTCCGCCGCGCGACAGGCACCGGCCTTGCAGCAAAAGGACCCTCGCGACATTCAAGGCGCTGCAGGCCGCTCTGCCGAGGCTTCGGCTTCGTTTCGCAGGTCCTTGGCCAGGGACCGTCGCTGGGAAGTGCCGGACCGGGCTCCATCCGCCAGCCCAAGGACTCCCCGTGCCACCACTCCTCAGAGAGGAGCAAGTGCGGCATGGAGCCGCCCCTATTTGTGAGGCTCTCTCTCTCTCTCTCGATTGCATCCTCGGCACCACGGTGCTAAAGCCCATCTGCTCCACTCGCGCAGCGAACTCTCGTAGCAAGGCATCACCTCTGCTCCCGAGCAGAGAATCAGAAGCAGGGCAAAAACCAGGGCCCCGACCAGCATCCCGGCCGAGGCCGTAGAGATCTCCGGTGCCCCATTCAAGATGCCTGCGCTCCCCACGCAGAATCACGCAGAGCAGAGCTGGCACACGTGTCCTCAAGGCCTCTTCCCGGAAGCGGCGGCATTCAAACAGTTCTCTTCAAGCTCGAAGGCCAGCGTCTGGGCCGTCTTGCGTGCCTGGGCCAGCACGTCCACGGGAGGCCGAGACACCTGCAGGCTGAGGCCAATCTCCTCGTGAGGGGCTCAGCTCACCACTGGCACAAGGCACATCAATAAGTCCCATCAACCTAGCCCTGTGGTTCTCATCCGGTGGCACACTCTTCCTCTTGGCGGCCCCTCGCCCTTCTGCTTTATTCTTCTTGTTCTTCTCTTTCCATCTCTCTTTCTTTCCTAAGGGTAAGACTAGGACGTGCGCACCTCCAGCCTCTGCTTTCCAGACTCCCCCCATATGTTGTAGGGGGGTGTGTCTCGGCTTAAAGTCTCTCTTGCTCTCTTGCTCGCACTCTCTGTCTCTCTCTCTCTCTCTCTCTCTATCTATCTCTCTCTCGCTCTCTCTATCTCTATCTCTCGCGCTCTCTCTTCTTCTCCTTCTTCTTCTTCTTCTTGCTTGCTTGGCGTTTGGGGATTCGGGGTAGAGCCGCCCCGCCTGCGCGCATGCGCCACGCGAAGTCACTGTCCAGAGCCGTCGGAGAAACTAGGTCAGGAGTCAGGGCAAGAGTCCCCGAAATTTCCTCCCGGCAGGACGTGAGAATGTGTTTTCAAATGCTCGCGCAGTTGTCGAGAACAGAACATGTATTCCTGTTCGGCTGAATTATCATCTTCTTCCACAGGGCATAGGGGGGCATCTCAAACCCCCTGGCCACAAGGGCCCCCCCAGTATTTGGGGTTGCTTTGAAGGGGCGTGAACAGTTCGCCCTCCACGTACCTAAATCAGATGGCACCTCTCTCTCTCTCTCTCTCTCCCGGGCATGGGGACGTCTCACCGTCCCCGGGCCTGTCGGCCCACCCGATCATATTGATCAGGCAATGGGGAGTGACGAACGAACATTGAACATCCAAAGCGCTAGAGCTAAGTTATAGTGAATGTAAGGAAGAGGAGGATGTTCGAATGTTCTCTCAGACACATGCAGACATGGTTGACTTCCCCTGCTCATCTTCCAATCAAAATAATATATATATATATATATATCTCTCTCTCTCTCTCTCCCGGGCATAGGGGTCGGTCAGGACCCCCGGGCAAGAATGCCCACCCGCACGTAATGTGCAGGAAAGGGGGGTGAGGAGAGAGCATAATGCACCCTTCAGGCGAAGGCCATGAAGTGCAAAATAACGGTCCAGGGTGCAAGTGTGCTCTCGAAGACAGTTTCCCCCTTCTCAAGTATGTTGCTCACAAGGAAACTTTAAGCTGAACAAGTGATAAGCCAACATACACATGAGCAACATTCCTTTCCCAGCCATGGAGATGTGCTGGTTGAGAGTGGGTTGTCCTTTGCATCGAATTGGCATGAGTCTGTTTGGGATGCACTATGGTTGCTAGCAGCCAGCCTCTACGGAAAAATAAATGCTTTCTTTCGGCAGGGCCAGGGGCAGAGAGGTTTCCCCCTCAAATGCTCTCTGTCTCTCTCTCTCTCGCTC